AAGGAAGACATTTTTTGCGATAACGGTGGTGAGACAGTGGAACAGTTTGCCCAGAGAGGGAGTGGAGGCCCCATTCTGGAAACATTCAAGGCCAGGTTGGACTGGGCTCTGAGAAACCTGGTCTAGTTGAAGATGTCCCTGTTCACTGCAGGGGGGTGGGCTAGATGACCTCTAGATGTCCCTTTCAACTCAAAGCATTCTATGATTCTGTCACTCTAAGCATAAGGAATAATTTTTATTAACAACTGTAGGCCTTTTTTTCTTGGGATATTTCAACATCTGGAGCTCCTCTCTGGTTGGGGGGGGGGGGTTTGGTGGTTTTTGTTTTTTTTATTTTTTTAAAGAATGTATTCATTCTAAGTAATTGTGAGAACTGACTCTTCTTTTAAGCATGATTATGCAAACCGGGTACAAGCATTCAAAGAAGCACCTCAGTTCAACACAGGCAACATTCCAGTGCTTTCTCATCAGCATCAAAAGCAAAGCACAGTAAACTTCAAACGTTGAAAAATAAATCAGTGGGAAAGGTGGATACTGCCACCATGTGGTATAAAAAGAACAACATTAGAAGCTTCTACATTATGGAAAACTCAATGTACCAAGAAAATTGTTTCTAGCACACCTTTAATTATTGTTATCTACTATCCCATTAAACTGCTGCAGCAAGAACTAACACAGATGTCAGTCAAATCTCTGAAGGCTGAAATTCTCCTGCAGAATTTTATTAAACCAGAGTATATTAAATGTACAATGAAGGAAAATGCTCACATAAATCGAAGTTAACAGGATTAATTCAATCTCAATTATGACCAGAGATCATGACACAAAAATAGTGCTGAAGCACATAAATGCACAAATTTTATTGACTACTTTTTCTAATTCAATAAAAAAAATTATAGGAATTTCACAAGATAACCCTGCATAATTAATAACTCTTTACACTTGATTATTCTGTAAGTAAATTTCGAGGAAAAAAAGGGGGGGTAACTAAAGAATCATTTTAGAAGTAGTAAAATGACAGTGACATTTAGGTCCCTGCTAACCATGGCTTGGATAAACATACTCTAGGCACCTGAAACTGTCTTATCACAACTCCAGTTTTATGCAGAACTAAGCTAAAATAAAAATTATTCCAGCTCTATGCATACTAAGAATACTACAAATATTCATAAATACCTTAAAAACAACATACTCCCTATGCCATTTCAACTCCTTTACTCTTTGAAAATAAAAATTAAATATATTTAGAAAATATGTTTCTCTCCTTCTGGCATTTATACCTTACCTGAAATCAAGTTATCTTTAGTATAGAAATAAATAGGAAAATTAAAATACAAAAAGCTGAAAAGCACAACAGAGAAGATGCAACTCTAAAGAATTCTTAAAAAATGCATTTCTATGTTATTAAAACCAAAGGTGAAGCAAATTGCTACCAAGACGTCACCATCTCGAAAACTATACATCGAACCATCATTGAGCCTTCCATTAGTGCTGGATGGATCTCCTGTCTCAGCTTCCCCGCCTTGAATCTTGCCCTCAGAAAGCAGAACATAGCTGATAAGAGCCTATACTGAACAGTCTTATGAACAAATCTTGCGCAGGGTAGCCAGAACATGAAATCAGCTATTATGCAAGGACATATACAGCATTTTCCCCTTTGTCTCTCTCCTCCCAGTAATTTTTACAGAACAAAAAAGGTTTTATATCTCATACATGAATGATGAATTGGAAAATGATTTTTTTTCTATGTATTTACACAGTTTCTTAATTGAAGTAATTAAGGTGAACAGACCTCCATCAGACACTTCAGTTGGGATTTGTACCCACTTAGCTCTTCTGCTAGGCTCTCCTTTTTCATGTGTAGATCACTTAGCTCCTTTCTTAAGGAATGGACTACTTCATAGAATCGGATCTAGGAGAACAAGACAGATACTTAAAATTGAGACTAGCAAAATTGCAATCGTAAAACTACAATCCCCAAAACAAATCAGCTCAATATTTTATGGCATATTTTATTCACCAAACGATTTCTAGTGCATACCAGGAACCTGGCTGGGGAGGAATGTTAAAGCAAAGACAGTTTCTTTCTTCAGCCTGTGATATCAGCAGGTCAGAAATAATTTGTGTTTGGTACTAAATAAAGAGTAATAAAAGATACACATTTCTGTTCAACTAAGGGAGCTCCCAGTCAGGCTATCTGATTAAAAAATACAGCTGCTAATGGACAGCATGGTCCCACCCTCTTACTCGTGCCACTCTACAGCCTATTTGATTAACAGGGTAAAAATAAAAAAAAAAAGCCTATTCAGCAATAAACCAACTGAACTGGCTAACCTGCCCCAAGCCAGTATAAATTTTTATGGGGTGTGTAGAAATGGAGAGAGATTAGTTTTGTTTTCTGCCAGTCCAGTGTGCTGAATCTGCACCAAGAAAAATGCAGGAGCAAGCACAGGAAGTGGGAACAGCACATAACCAGGAAGAACTGTGGCACACCTCCCTCCCCACCTTCAAGCAATAGCACATGGGTTCAGCTACACTGTGCAACTAAGCCTATGAAAGAATCTACTCTGCTAAATTAGCACTGAAAAAAAAACTTTGTAAAAGAATTTAAAAAAAAAAAAGTATAACACATACTCCTCTTTTCCCCCACGCCTCTTTTCCCCCACTCCAGTCACACAGTCTTAACATTCATAAAGCTTTTTCAGAACATTTCTACTGAACAAGAAAAAATACTAGAAAACACAGTAGTAAAAAACAAAAGGAGACAAAAGAAAGAAGAAAGAGCTTTTTTGATATACACCCACACACACGTACACAGAGGTTATTACTCCCAGATTAACTTGATACCTTAAAATATTTATTTTGGAGGATGAAAAGAAAAGAACAGATAATTAAGCACAATTTTCAGGTAAAAGCTACTCCATACCCCCCTTCCCATTAACACTTTGTTTGATATATGATTAAAGAAGAAACACAAGCAAGAAAGCACAGCTAAACTAAGCATTCAAGAGCAAGCTGTACTATACTTCCATGCAGAAGGAAGACAGGTCTCCGTTTTGCTACCTGTAAACATCAGAAGACAAAGAAAAGTTCCAGGTATATTCCATATAATTGACACCATACTATTGTAAAAACACAGAAGCCATGAAATCTGCAATGTAAACATAGGTGTAGTTTGCTTCATACAATAAAGCAAGCGTGCAACATGACTGGAAGATTAGAAGTAAGGCAGAAGAGTGAAATTTTCTAAGAAGAGGTGGGGTTTTTTGGTTTTTGCTTATTTACTGTGCTTATTCAAAGCTACTGTTGTTTGAATTTGTTGTACTCAACAAGAGAGCTCCACTTTTTGTTCATACCCTTAGATACAAAACAAACATAAGCCAGAATAGGACATATGCTACAAATGTAAAGTTACTTTCTACTAAAAAAAATGCAAGCTTTCGCAAAACATAGTTGCTATTTTACTTTTTTTTTTAGATGGTAACAAGGGATTCTGAATTCGTTATATCTAAGTTTACACATACAATGAACAAAATTAAGGATGGCTTTTCAAACTATAATTCAAATAATCCCAAAATAAGGTATAAATTGTTTTTCATGTTCTGAAAATTCCAAATAAACTCAACCATCAGATGCTACAGTTCAAACTATAAATTATCTTCCTATTCTGGGAAGTGAACTAACTGCATATTATTGCCTTATTTTACTGTTTCATTATCATTTTTTCGTTGCAGTGTTCTCTTCCTTCAGAATAGAATATTTAAGGAGATTTTTCATGACCATTTGTGAAATGACTTTGCTTCTAATGGATTTGCGTGAAATCAAACAGTGAAGTTAGTTTTGTGGGTTCTTTCTAACTTCCAAACCACAACAGGCTTCAACTACTTCCTTAGGAAAAAAACAACTTTAGAAATGTGCATGCAAAGCAGTAAGTACACTTTTAGTCTCTTAACTACGGCTTCCACTGACTAGTTTTTGTCTATCTGGATTCTTTAAGAACTTGTCCGATTACATCTGAGCCAAGCAACTGCATTTCAATCAAATCTTCTTTCTTCCAACAAAAAAGTGATTACAAAATTTTTAATTTTTCTTTTACTTAAAAAGCAACCTTGATTGTCACTAACTGGTAACCACTCAAAGCATTGGGGTTTTTTTTTTTTTAAACCACACCTACCTTTTCCCTTACATTCCTGTATTTTTACTGCAATTTTTCTAGGAAACCTAACTTGTGCCATCATGCCACATTTACTTCCCAAACCGCAACCACCATAAAACAGATTACCCAGTACCAAACCAAGGTGACAAGGGATACATGTATCAAGGATAAACATTGCTGCACAGCCTTCCCAAGAAAGATCAAACCATTGTAATAAGAAAGTGCAAATGAATGCAGCAGATGAGGGGAAGGTTGTAGCAGAAGCTCAATTTAATAATTTAGTAATTGTTATTTAGCTTGCTTGATGGCCAGTAAACATTCATGCAACCCAGCAGTCAAAGGACACATTGCCTCTTGCAAAACCAATATAGCAGAAACAAAATTTAGCATAAAAGGATTTCAGAAACAACTGCATACCTTAAAAATTACAAATTTATATAGATGTGCTTTCTAAGTGATTTTTTAAAAATTCTTAGCATGTGCTCACCATTTTTTATGGAAAACTAGAGTTAAGCTAAAAAACGGGTGGGTGCAGAGGAAGACAAAGTTGACTTCTGATAAATGAAGTTATGTGAAAGTTGTTGCATCAGTTAACTGCCTTCCAAAAGAGCAACTGAGATGTAGTTAGCAAAACTGTGCAACCAAAAGACATGATGATTAAAAACAGATCAAACACAATTTGCAGATACCATTTTTCAACAACTTGGTGAGAAATTTTTACAGGAGAGTACACCCGAGGCTCACTTTACTGAAGAAATTGATTCAGCTGCCAAGCACCAGTTCAATGATGTGAAGTGCTTTAAAATTTTCTATATACTGTTTCTAAAAAAATCCTCCTTACAAATTATTAAAAAAAAATTTTACATACAAGTTCAAAATAAAAGTGTGATTTTAAGAGAAAGATGCTTAAAACATCATTTTTCATTTGTGATCATCATTAACATTAAACATTGCTTAGTGTTTGCTCTAACATGTCTCTATTGCACCCCTTCGTGGAAGAATAGTGAAAAACATCCCACATTTGTTTTAATTCTAGTATTTTAAACTCACAATATCTCTATATACAGAAACTGTATTTAAGCAAGTCCTGCTGTTTGTCCAGTACAGCAGGTTTCAAATATAGTGTAACCATTATACATACATTTACTTCTATCCTGAAGAATTGTAAGTCAATATTTTATAATTGATAAATAGAAAAAAAAGAGTCTGAAAATTTCTTGCTCAAATTTTCTTTAAGCAGAACTCTTTCTCAACAAGCAGAATTTTGCTCTAGTATCAACAGACTGTACTATTAATCTGCATATAGGTCTGGAGCCAGAGATTTTATCTGCCTAAGAAATGCACAATTCCTCCTTAGGTAAGAAATGCAGAAAACAGCATCAGAAAAATAAGGGGAGGTGAGGTGATTCTGCCCCTCTGCTCTGCTCTGGCGAGACCTCACCTAGAGTCCTGCATCCAGCTCTGGAGCCCTCAGCACAGGAAAGACATGGAGCTCTTGGAGCGGGTCCAGAGGAGGGCCACAAAAATGATCAGAGGGCTGGAACACCTCTCCTGCGAGGAACGGCTGAGAGCGTTGGGGGTGTTCAGCCCGGGGAAGGGACAGGGAGACCTTATAGCAGCCTTTCAGTACCTGAAGTGGGCTTACAAAAAAGATGAGGTCAAACTTTTTATCACGGCCTGTTGTGGTACGGCAGGGGGTAATGGTTTCAAACTAAAAGAGGGTAGATTTAGACTGGATATAAGGAAGACATTTTTTGCAGTAAGGGTAGTGAAACACTGGAAGAGGTTGCCCAGAGAGGTGGTAGATACCCCAACCTGATCTAGTTGAAGACGTCCCTGCTCACTGCAGGGGGGCTGGACTAGATGACCTTTAAAGGTCCCTTCCAACCCAAACTATTTTATGATTCTATGAACACCCTTTAGATAAGGATGAAAAGCATAAATTCTCTGTACATATCTAGAGCACAGTATACCATGATTTTCACCCAGCAAGAGAACCGATTCACACAGCATTTATACCTCAAACACACTAAGCTTTTTAAGATTATATTATTTACGGCTTTGTTAATAACTAGCTCTATAGATAAGTACAATGCTAATACTTCGGTGAATTAAGGTTTACATGTCTGAACTCTCTTCATTCTCAGAAGTGAGCCAGAATGCCCTGGACATGTCCCACAGAAGGCACTGTCTTTTTATTACAAGCCTTGCCCCTCTATCTATCATAAGCCATAATTAAAAAACTTCTTAAATCAAGAAAATGAGTCTTAAATTGTACTTTAAAGTATACTTTATCTCCTCCATTTAGTCAGATAGGAAAGGGCCAGATGGAAAGCATGAGGGAAAGGTAAGGGATATTTGCAATCCACCTCGATTTGTGGTTCTGGCAAGCCCAGTTTCCAATTCCTGTTTTCAGTCTGCTGTATCTCATATCATCAATGTGTGCCCACCATTTAATTGTAACACTCCATTTGCTTCACCCTCTTACAATACATCAGCATTCTACTCTCTAAGACGTCAGAGTCTGGGAGTAAAGTTCTCTCTACTGAAATCCAGTCAAAATGGACTGATCCAGAAGTACATCTGCCTCTGAAGGTCCTTCATTTCTAGTCAGGGAAGAATAAGAACTCTAGGAGTATAGACCAGCTTCTACTTTATATACATCCCTTTAATTCTAAATAAAAGCAATTTTCAGCTGTGGTGGGTTGACCCTGGTCAGCAGCCAAGCACCCGTATAGCTGCTCACTCACCTGGTGCCTCCAGTGGGAGCAGGAGGAAGGAGAGCGTGGGGAAAAAAGGAAGCATGAAAACTCAGGTGTTGAGTTTTCTCAAGAGTTTAATTAATAAATGAAAGAGAGATAAATTAAAAAAAAAAAAAAGCCATGCAAAGACAATCACCCACCACCTCCCACCAGCAGACTGATGCCCAACAGGCCTCTGAGCCATAACCACCTTGGAAGCCAACCCCCACCTCCTCTTTCGTTCTCTACTTCCAGTTTATACTGCTGAGCATAATGTTAGATGGGTTAGAATATTCCTTTGGCCAATTCGGGTCAGCTGTCCAGCTGTGACCACCCCTAGTCTGCTCACCGGGAATGGGGGAAGCAGAGGGGGGAAAAGAGAAAGCCTTGATGCTGTGCAAGCACCGTCCAGCAACAGTGAAAACACTGGCATGTTACCAATGCTATTTCAGCCCCAAATCCAAAACGCAGCAAGATTCAGGCTGCTATGAAGAAAGTTAACTCCGTCCCAGCAAGACCCAAGATGGAGCTGTATTTTAAACCAATACAAAACACAATACTCACAGAAACATATTCGGGGATAGACAGCTGATCTTCAGGAAGAGACTTTAGTTGCTCATAGCAATCATCTGTTAATTCCAAGTCTCGCAAGCTATGACGGATATCTCCAGCCCTCTCCCTTAATTGATGATTTGTTTCCTCCAGTTGCTTCTGTCTCAATAAAATAGTTTCCATTTCTTGTTTCATTAGAGCCTGATGTTTTCTTCAAGATTGATTTGAAAACAGAAGACATTAAGTAGCAAGTAACACGAGTGACAAACCTTCACAACACCCTTGCAAAGGAGTGAGTTATGCTCATTTTGTAGAGGGGAAAATTCACAGGGAGATTAGATTAGCCCAAGAGTGTATACCACCACGGTTACACAATCGTATCGGACACAGTATATGTAAAAAGCCAGGAACTTCATAGTCATTGACTATACAAAGCTGAATCTGAGAACTGACAATTAATGTCCACATATGCTGACTTCAATTTATAAAATAGTCAAGGCCCTTTAAAAAAAAAAAAAAACACAAACACCACTACACTTAAAAAAGCAGCCTTACTTCCAGCCTTAAAACACTATAATTACTATTATCACCAGTGACAAGTTATTACAAGGCAAGAGAAACCGCATGTCACAGAGATGTTTCAAAGTGTTTATTTAAATCAAAGGCAACTGACCTCCTTTTTTGGAAGTTTTAGATGTAACTCTTAAAAACATATTAAATCATTCTTCAAAATGCAGTAATTCCTACATTATTTTAAAAGTAGTATTAAAAATACTAGCTTGTACTACAAGGCGATGTCTGCCCCACTTGTTTCAAAACGACAAAAGAAAATCCCAGGTCAGCAAAGCAGTCACATAAGGACATATTCTGCACACAGTGTACGATGCTGTTAAACAGCAATGAAAAACAAGGTAAAAGACAGGCAGAAAAACTAATGAAAAGAATGGGGAAAGGAAAGTAGTTCAACTTTCCTATGCCTACTAATAGCAATTTGCACATCAGTACTTTTTTAATGAACACTCCTCAGATAATTCAAGTATGGCCAACACGAAAATATTCCACTCTGGTGCAAATAAGCATACAGAATGACAGATTTTCCTGACAGTCAGCTGCTCTTGATTGAAAGACTTTGCTGTAACTAATCTCAGGTCTGGCTTCACATCCCTAAATTTGTTCCAGGCTTACTACGGAATATGACATTGAATTAGTCACATCCTGTAAGCTGGTGCATCCTCTACTGTAACAGGAGAATATTCAAGTAATGGTCTTCCTTCACAGCCCTATTACAGGTGTTAAAACATTTAATTGGCAAAGTAATTTGGAGCAGCCTGCTAGCCAGTCTATTTTCAGCTATAGATTAACTCAAAATGTTTCAGAAAAGCAAGTTTCTACATCATCACCTGAAAGCATTTCTGATCAATAAACAATCCTAACTGGAAGTGCTAAACATTATCCCCCTACCTTTCCCAAGCCATTCAGGCTGAAGAGTTATTAAAAATTCAGTTCAAATTGATGGAAAGTCTGCCCCCTCTACCTATTCCTTGTGCTCTTCAGTGGTTTTAAGAACTATCTTACTCCAAGTTCCTATTAAACTTTGAATCCAGGTAACAATAAAACCAAAATGACAAACTTAATGCAGTGAGTGCTAATTCAAATTTACATATATGTAAATTAAATATGTAAATTAAATTTTTAGAATGTAAATACTAATATAATCTGCAAAACAAATCATATTCTTGCAATTAATAATCATCACTTTCCATTAACTGTCCATGAATTAATTTGAATTCATATTAAGTAGTTATTAAAGACAAAGGGGTTTTTTTGTTTTAATTCCATCATACCTAGCATCTTCTTGCTGTAATGCCAGCTGGCTATCCAATCGTAAAGACAACAGCTGCTTTTGATGGATTGCATCATTAAGCTTCTCTTCTAGCTCTTCAATCTAAATATAAAGAATATAAATATAAAACAAAGAAAAGAAGTTACCTTGGTAATTTTTAAAACAAATTTGACATAAAGAATACCTTGAAAGAAAAAAGTGGAGAGCCCAATGCGCTGGGAAGTACAATAATGACTGTCTAACAAGACCTCTAAACATGCCAAGGCTTCATAAAATATAATACAGATTTTGCCCTAATGAACTAAAAAAAGAAAAGACTTAGTTCTACAATTGATCTTTTTCAGCCTAATAGCTACTTGTTCAGCTGATATCAAACCAAGCTTAAACGCAGAGGAGCAAGCCAGTGCAAGCCACAGTTAGTATACAGTAGGTTGTAAATGCTGACTGCACACAGACACAGAAAAGCTGTTACACCTTTCTTCATTTCATGCATCTTAGTAGAAACCGTACACAACTGAATCTCCTACTATTAGCATGTTGGTATATTCTAGTCACATCTTTCTTAACAGATTATTGAATAGCATTCAGATGACTTTTTCTAGTATTCCACAATTTCAGGTTAGAAGCTCTACTAAGTTGCTTACAACAGTGGCAAAAATTATTCATCATTCCTGAAAGAATACAGGTCTTTTCCTTTTGTTATTAGAAAGGGAAAAACTAATTTAATCCCACTCATTCACTTAAAAGTATAAAACCTTGGACAAATCAGTTGAAGTTTTATAGATCTTTGTTTCCTCCTTTTCTCATTAAAAAAAAAAAAAAAAAAAACGCAATTCACAGAAACACTTCTCAGCATGGAAGTTTCTACCATACTCTAAAAGCACCAGAAATAAGATTATACGACACAAGAAACAACGATTCTTACCTTGGTCAAATATTCTACTTTCAAGTTGTCAATCATCAAGTTTTTCTGAGATAATTCTATTTTAAGCAGCTGAAGATTATGAAGCAACTCCTTCCGTTCAATCAGCTGCTTAGTGATTTTAACAGTACCTTCTCTCTCTTCAGAGGAAGAAACATCATCAGTTGGTATTGTGGTTTCTAAGCTAATATCTTCAGACTCCAAGGAGCTAGAAATGTTTACTTTCCTGAGTTCCTTAGAGCTTTTATGTGACATTTTCTTCCACTATTTGCAAAGCTTTTTTAAGATGTACTTTGGGATGAGTCCCCTGAAGAATCAACTGCAAGAATCAACACAATTAAGTAAAATGCACTATGTCATTATGAAAAATTAAACAAGACCACTAAGCAATACTTATCAGCAACACACGAATGTATTTTTTGTTCACCCAAGAAAAACATTTTGAGAAGCTTTGAAGAGAGCAGCTGCCCAAGGACTCTCTTCCTAAATAATTATTAACAACAGTTTTGACTGCAATAAGCTCAATACTGGTGTGCATCAATGTGCTGGTTTTGGCTGGGCTAGAGTTAATTTTCTTCATAGTAGCTAGGATGGGGCTGTGTTTTGGATTTGTGCTGAAAGCACTGTTGGTAGCACAGGGATGTCTTTGTTACATCTAAGCAGTGCTTACACAGAGTCAAGGCTTCTTCTGCTTCTCACACCACCCCACCAGCGAGTAGGCTGGAGAAACACAAGAAGCTGGGACAGCTGACTCTCACTGACCAAAGGGATATCCCATACCACGTGACATCATGCTCAGCACATAAGGCTAGGGGAAGAAGAAAAAAGAAGTAAGATGTTCAGAGTGATGGCATTTCTCTTCCTAAGTAATATTACGCATGATGGAGCCCTGCTTTGCTGGAGATGGCTGAACACCTGCCTGCCAGTGGGAGGTAGTGAATGAATTCCTTGTTTTGCTTTGCTTGCATGTGCAGCTTTTGCTTTAGCTGTTGTCTTTATCCCAACCCATAACTTTTCTCACTCTTGTAATTCTCTCCCCCATCCCACCCAGGGGCAGTGAGTGAGTGGCTGTGCAGTGCTTAGTTGCCAGCTGGGGTTAAACCACAACAACCGAGCTTACTCAGTAAGACGCCACAGCTAAATCCAGGTGTGCACCTGCCATGCCCGCTGCATTCACAGAAAACTCCCAAGGCCCGCAAGGCATACAGAGAACATCCAGTCAGGGGCATAACAAGACTAACTACAGAAAACAGTAACAAAATGCTTTGATGCCCACCTTCATCTTCTCTGAAGTAGCCCTACTATTCTTACCAGGCTATTACTTTCCCAAAGCCAGCTACTTCAGTCACGCATACTTTTACAAGCACTGGTACGGACCACAGCTTTCCACCTGAGAGACACACCGACTAACGCGCGCTGCTCAGAGCCCGACAGAGCAGGGAGATGCCGCGCCCGGAGCCCAGGCCAGCGCCC